CTCTCTCTTACTTTTTTCCTCATAAATAAGGGTATATCTAGGGGGAAAATCCATTTCTTACTGAAACATTTCACTGTGTATCCCATTGATTAATTAATTAATTATGATGTAATTGTTTTGGATGTTTTGTAATTAAAGTTATGTAATTAAAAAATGATAACTAAAATTTTAGTAGAAACTTCAAAACCGAAATATGTATATGTATATTTATATTAAATATCATAACAATGGAACATTTATAAATTCATATTTTTGTAAAAGCTGGAAATAGGAAGAATGGAGCATTCTAGACGTACCTGTTGGTAGAATTTGTTAAGATTGGTGTCCCAAATTTCATGGCGTGCTCCTAACCACCGTTGTGACAGTAGAACGCTTTTAAGAGATGGTGTATCAATGAGTCCTGGAGAGAATACTTTGAATTTCGGACATTCTGTTATGATCACCTGTTCCAATAATGGAAACCTGAAAGTATAATTGTAGCCGCAAAATCTCTTCAATCTTGGTAGATCTTCAAGTTTCAAATGCTGCAACTTGCTGAAAACGACTTCCTCATCGTCATCATCCTCTCCTTCCTGCTTCCATATAATTTCCTTTATGTTAGAGCACCTACTAATTGAGAGACTTGTGAGATGGACCAAGCTTCGAGCAACTGATGATGTCATCAAAGTAGTCAACCCAAAACAAATTACCACGTGGAGATGTGTGAGATTTGGTGAAGAAACTAAGAGTGGTACCAAGCTTGTGATTTTGGAAATATATTCAAGAGTCAATTTTATTGGAAGAGGAACATCATCCCCTCCAGAAGCCTTCTTAATGCGACCCCCTAGTGTCAGCTCTTCTAAGTTTGGAAAGCTCTTCAACAATTTGTACGAAATAGTCGTTGCTTTATGACCAACATCTAGACAAAGCAGTTTTACTTTGGGGAAGCAGTATGTTGAAAGCTGGCCACTCCCTATCATCTTAGCTCCTTTACCCCACAATGTCAAGTTCTCTAAATTATGAGTGACCTGCACAATACATAAGTCGTAACTAAATGTAACAACTAATCAATGCGTCAAAATCCAGCCGTGTGCATTTTTTTCAGGAGGATATCTTCAAATTTAAATTTGATGCATCCACAATTTTGACGTACGTCTATTTTGTAAGTACAAATAATAATTATGATACATTTAAAATAAATATAAATTTCCAGCCTGGAATTTCAATCTTTGATTATCACACACAACCGTTATTCCTCCCTTATTTTGTTTTAAATAAATAAATATCAAATTAAAGCTTATAATGTCTTGAAAATGTTAAAAGAAAAAATCCCCTCCCTTGATTAAATGACACCCCTCTTTTATTTCCCAAAAAAAAAAAATGACACACCTCTTTCCGGTGAAGATGGAAAGCTGAGGATGGGAGTCCCACTTTTTTTTTAACAGAAAAAATATTTAATTAATTCTAGTATCTATCAATTAATTAAAATAATGATTATGAATTATTCCTTTTTATCTTTTTAAGTCAATCATCAAATTAATCCTAAACTACATTATATTCTAAAAAAATGTTTTAGTGACAGGAATAATTCGCATATGTAAGTACTCAAAAATATCAAATCCAAGTGGCCTCCTAGGCTGTAAAGCAAAATATATTTCATTATTTATTTTAATGCTTAAAGTTCTTTTTTGCTCTTTTATTAGCTTATTTTTAAAATAAATAACACATGAACGGCCAATTTAGATATGTACCTTGTCATGGTATAGTAGAGGATATTTTGAGCCTAATGTGCTCTCTTCCTCATGTACTTCTAATGAACTTGAAACTTCCTTTTCAAATATCTCTAATTCACCACAATTGATAACAAATAACCGTTGAAGGCGTGGCCATTCTAATGTGTGTCTCTGTGGATAGAAGTTCTTCAAATTTTGAAGCGAAGAAAGCGCAAGAGAAGTCAGCCTAGGAAACACAAACTTAGAAGCAACAGATTCTGAAACTTCATCTTTTGCAACAATAACCTCTATACCACAATCATTTATTCGAAGCTTTTCAAGATCACGAAGCATGCCTTTGGCTATAGATGCAGGAAACAGACTTGTGAGGCTTTCACAATAGGAAACATCCACACTCCTTAAACTTGGGAAGGAGACATCTCCTTCAGAGTGATTGCTCCACACATTCTTCAATTTTGGCAATTTATATAGCTTTAACTTCTTCAGTGGCACAACCCGGATTGATGATGACACCGTCTCTTTATATTTGTTCAAATCTTCAAAATCAAGCACCATCTCTAGCATGCGACAATTCCTAACTTCCAGTTCTTCCAAGTTGTATAAAGATTTTAGCACACAAAGGGGCACTAATTTCACAAAGCCACAGTTTTTCACAATCAATGTTTTCAAATTACTAAATGAGGTGTGTGAAAGTTGGTCGTCCCATATCATTGGAATCAAATTGATTGAATTGGACAATTCCAACCTCTCTAATTTTGGAAGTAACACCTGTTGAAAGAAAATAAGATTAAACACAAATAACTTATAATCCATAGGCTTTCTTTTCATGAAATATTTTTTAAATGTTTAAATAAAAATCTCACCTACCTTCTTTTGTTTTAAAAAATTGCATGAAATAGTCGTTGCCTTATAACCAACATCTAGACAAAGCAGTTTTACTTTGGGGAAGCGGTACGTTGAAAGCTGGCCACTTCCTATCATCTTAGCTCCTTTACCCTCCAATCTTAACTCCTCCAAATTATGAGTGACCTGCACAATACATAAATCATAACTAAATGTAACAACTAACCAATGCGTCAAAATCCAGCCGTGTGCATTTTTTTAGGAGGATATCTTCAAACTTAAATTTGATGCGTCCACAATTTTGACGTACATGTATTTTTTAACTACAAATAATAATTATGATACATTAAAATGAATATAAATTTCTAGATTGGACTTTCTATCTTTGATTATGACTTACAAATGTTATTTCTTCCTTCGTTTGTTTTTAAAAAAATTATCAAATTAAAGCTAATAATGGCTTGAAAAAAGGAAAAAAAAAATCCCCTCCCTTGATTCAATGACACACCTCTTTTCGGTGAAGGTGGAAAGCCGAGAATTGGAGTCCCACTTCTTTTAAAAAAGAAAAAATAGAAAATTATTTAATTAATTTCTAATATCTATTATTAATTAAAATAATTATTATGAATTATTATTTTTTAGCTTTTTAAGTGAATAACCAAATTAATCCTAAACTACATTATATTCTAATAAATGGTTTAGTAACAGGAATAATTCACATACTTGAGTACTCAAAAATATCAAATTCAAACGTGCTCTTAGACTGTGAAACAAAATGTGTTTCTTCATTTATTTTTAATGCTTAAAGTTAATCTTTTGCTCTTTTATTAGATTGTTTTTAAAATAAATAACTCGTGAATAGCTAATTTAGAGATGTACCTTGCACTGGGACAGTAGAGGATATTTTGAGTCTAATGAGCTCCCTTCCTCGTGTATTTCTAATGAACTTGAGACTTCCTTTTCAAATATCTCCAATTCATCACAACTTCTAATAGATAATCGATAAAGATGTGGCCATTCTAATGTGTGTCTCTGTGGATAGAAATTCCTCAAATTTTTAAGCGAAAAAAGCTCAAGGAAAGTCAACCTGGGAAACTCTAACACAGGATCAATAGATTCTGAAACTTGATCCTTCGCAACAATCACACCTATACCACAATATTCTATTCGAAGCTTTTCGAGATCACGAAGCATGCCTTTGGCTATAGATGCAGGAAACATACTAGTGAGGCTATCACAATAGGAAACATGCACGCTCCTTAGACTTGGGAAGGAGATGTCTCCTTTATAGTGATTGCTCCACACATTCTTCAATTTTCGCAATTTATAAAGCGTTAACTTTTTCAGCGGCACAATCACTGATGATGACTCCGCCTCTTTATAATCATTCAAGTCTTCAAAATCAAACACCAACTCCAACGTGTCACAGTCCCTAACTTCTAGTTCTTCCAAGTTGTTTAAAGATTTCAGCACACGAAAGGGCACCAATTTCACAAAGCCACAACTTTTCACAAACAATGCTTTCAAGTTCCGAAATGAGTTGTGTGAATGTTGGTCCTCCCATATCAATGGAATCAAACCGATTGAATTAGATAATCGAAATATCTCTAATTTTGGAAGCAACACCTGTAGTTTACAGAAAATATGATCAAATGAAAATCACTTTAAATTCACAGACTTGCTTTTCATGAAAGATTTTTTAAATGTCTAGATAAAACTCTCATGCACAATATTTTTAAAGAGATTGCTAAAAGTTCAATATGAAATTCCAAGTTCAAAAAAAAAAGTAATCAAAAAATGAAAAAAAAACTGTAAAATGCTATTTTAGCAAGCTTAATACCAAAGCAAGTACTTCTAGTGAATGTAATTTTTGTAGATACGTTAACTAAAAAAAAAGAACAAAATAAGAACAAACTTGAAAAATGCCACAATAGCCTGACAGCAAAGTAAACAATTCTAGTAAAAATTAATTTTTGCAGGTAACTAAGTTTGAAATTTTGTCAGAAAATTAAAACAAAAAAAAGAATAATTACAATGATTAGTCATCAAAACCACGAGCCACATTCTCAGATATTTTAGTGACAGGGACAATTTCCAAAAATATCAAATTAAGGTGCTTTTAGGCTGACGAATAATTTGAGGCATCATTATTTATTTTAATACTTGGAGTTAGCTTTTCTCTTTTATTAGCTAATTTTAAGTCATTAAAAATAATAGAAAGCTGCAACCTTCCATAATAGCCTAACAGCAAAACAAGTAATTCTAGTGAAAATGATTTTTGCATACAAGTTTGAGGCTAAGTTTTGTAGGAAGATAAAATAAGAAAAAATGTGAATAAAATAATCTGAACATACCTTGTTCAAAAGCGACTCAGACATTTTATTGGATATGTTATTTGTTGCTGCTTCATGATGTGCTGAGTTCCCAAAAATGGACTCAATTTGGTTACTTCCAATCCGAAGATGCCTTAAATGCGGAAATGATCTTCCATCATGACCATGTAGAACATTTTCAAGCCCATTAGATCCATATAAACACAAATCTTCAGCTCCTTTCATCAACTTTCGAACCCCAGGCTTCAAATGGATATCACTCTCAAGCTCAAGTTTCAATACCTTTGAAGTTTTATAGCCGACCGTCCCCCATTCCCAGTGCTTCCCAATGAGTATTTTGTATCTCTTCAAATTCATATCTAAGAACAAAGTCTCTGGCAACATAGAGACATTAGGAATATGAATATCTAGAGAACAGATTGGCAAGCCCTTCAACTCGTCAAGACTTGCATTTTCATTAGCTTCAGTAGATCCTTCAACTTTCCACTGGTCAAAGCTATTTCCCATAAGCAAAACCCCCAATTTTTTGAAGCTAGATAGCAGTTTTGGTGGAATCACTTTGAGCTTGGAGCAGTGGGCTAAATTCAACATTTCTAAAGAGGTTAAGTCTGCCAATTCAATAGGCAGTTGTTGAATTTCAGAGTAAGCAAGACTTAGGACTTTTAACTTCTTCAAGCTTCTAACCTCAATTATGTCTTCCAGCAAACAAGAGTGGAGACACAATGTTTTTAGTTTTTGCAGGAACATGAGCGATGGTAGTGACGAAAAATGCACATTGGTAAATGCCAACACTTTCAGCTCCTTTGATGATTTGAAAAACATCATAGGTATGGCCAAATCACGTTCTGTGCTGTCTAGCAAAAAGAATTCTAATCTCGGACCATGCAGCTCTTCTGGAAGGTCACTGATGTCACTCTTTTGTAAGCAAATTCCCTTGTAGTCTTCAAGCTTATTTTTGCCAGGCCATTCTTTCAAGCTTCTATGCCTCACAATGAATGCTTTTAATTCATTGGGTGTGATCGACAATACAACATCTCGAAAGACGTCATGTATTGTAAAGTAATGACTAGAAAAACTATCAAGAAATAAGTTTAATGATTTTAGCTTACTTACGGCAGCAGAGACTCCAATGTGGCCATCTTCTATGTTTTCTATGCCGTCAAGAATATCTAACCCCATAGAGTACATGAGCAGGTCCTCAATTGAGGGATCATGGGAGAGCATGGCGGAGAGCAAGAAAATGCGTTTTTTCTCTGAGCTTAGACAATCATAACTCGACTTCAATATCTCATCCACCTCTTTAATTCCTGTGATGTTTCTTCTTAAAGGATGATTCAATCGTTTACAGAAATCTTGCCACTCATCTAGATTTTTTCCCCTTAATGCGTTGGCAGCCGCTACAATCGCTAATGTCAAGCCATGACACTTTCGAACAATCTCATAGGCTACAGATATCAAGTTGTCAGAAGTGCTTGAGTCAATAGGAAGTTCAGAAATCCTCTTGAACAACTCTAATGCTTCATTCTCTGACAAAACACCCACTTCGATAATATCTTTGCATTTCATGTGATTTAACAGCAGCATTCTGTCCCTTGAAGTTAGTAAAATTTTGCGGCCTTCATTCTTTTTGCTGTCATTTCCAACACCAACAATGGGAATCCCAACTTTGACCAAATCATTTTGCTTCCAAAGATCATCCAAGATTAGAAGCAGATTCTCCTCTTGCTGCAACCTCTCACACAGACGACAAGCTCTTGCTTCTTCAGATTCGTCATTGAGTTGCATACCCAGCATCCCTGCAATCCAGGCTTGAATCTTCACAACATTCAATTCACTAGAAATAGTTGCCATGATCACCCTTTTAAACATGTTTTGATTCTTCGCCTTCATTGCTACTTCTTCAGCTATAGTGGTCTTGCCAACACCACCATGTCCACACAATCCGACAATATTAACACTAGGATTATGTAAGTGCTCCATAATTTGATTCACAATTTGCGTTCTTGAACCAACCCCTTCACTGCTTTCTTTGTTGAGTAATTCTGGCATCGATCGGGGAGGAACAGGATATGAAACCCTATCAAAGTTTCTCTTCCCATAGATTTCAACAACTTCTTGTGCCATTGCCTTTGCTCTTTTGCTTAGTTTATAACGTAGCCACAGGTTGGGACAGGAAGTCACGCTACAATCTGTTTTTGCTTGACTCTCTTCTTCATGAAACATTTGTGTTTGCTCTAAAATCTCATCTGCTGTGCGCAACCAATGCTCAACTTTCTTTTCAATTTGTTCTAAATTGTTTCTAGCATTATCTATTTGGTGTTGTTTGGAGCTTCTTTCAAGGGTGAGTTCCTCAAGTCGTTCATTGAGCTCCTCAATGTTTCTGTGATACTGAAACAGATAACGAAGCTGCTCCCAAGTTAGGTCGATCACTAGATCCCGAAGCTTCTCAACCAAACCACTCAATGTTCCGCAAGTGATATCCATTTAATTTGTACTCTGTCAAAAAGATATAGCCAAAACTCATTTAAACTTGGGTTGTGAATTGATGCAGAAATATTGGTACCCTTCAAACAAATGTCTCACCTTTTTTTTCTGAATTAATGACGATGAAAACTTGATTTCCCCTTTTCCCTGTCTTTCCTTTTTCACCCTGTGGATATCAAAGCAAGAGTGAGGTCATTCAAATGATCACGAGTGACAATATTAAATTATTTTCAGTCAAAGTGTTTTTTTTTTAATTTATGCAATATCAAAACATGATCACTAAATTTTGGCCCCTTACAAATATATATTTGAAATTCTAGAACACGTCACCATGCAGGTGAGGTAAGGTGACAGGCAAGCTTATCATTAAACAAGTAGGACATAAATTTAACGTGCAGTTTTCTTTCTTCTTGAAGAAGCATAAAAAACCAGCAAACTCAAAAATGATCACAATAAAGGGAAAGTGCCAGCAAAAAATGCAAGAGGAGAAAACCTAGGATTTTTTTTATTTTGTAATATGAAAAAGAGAAAGAAAAAAAAATTGCAGAAAAGATGTTTAAGAACAAGTTGAGAAATCAATAAACAAGAAGAAGTCAGGAATGCTGTGCAGTTATGAAAGAAGACGATGAGAACCAACAAAAATATAGCAGAAATTAGTGAAAAAGTGCAAAGAAAAGGAATAAAATTCAGAAGAAAAATAATTTCTGAGAAAATGCTGAAGAAGAAGCAGAGATGAAGCTTTGGGAGGAGTAGATCCCCAAGTCTCTCGTGCATAAAGGAGTCAATGAATGAGACCCACAGCAATTAAAGTAGAGGCACTTTTAGGGTGTTTGGCAACTTCCAATCTAAAGTTTCAGAAGGACTTTTTCATAAAACGAGATAAATTCTTTTACATCTTTATTTTATAAACCGTAAAAGCACTTTTAAAACTATAGTTTGATTTCTATCCAAATACTTTTTTTTAAAGTTAATTTGAAACCCCATGACATTGGCCGGAGGATTTAAATTTTAAAGGTGACTAAAGAATGACGTGTAGGGTCTAAAAGTGACAAATCAAGCGTGTGGGGCCCCAACTTGGAAATCCATGCACATGTTGTTGCACAAATTTAGGTGAGTACCTTCTATGCAAGAAAATATGAGCTAGTTTTTCTACAATAATACTCGTTCTAATTATTTACATTGAAGTAAATTACAAAATAGCACATACATCATCCAATAATCTTGTTACGAAAATACCTTTTTCAAGGGAAAGGCAAGAACAAGGGACCGCAAAGATGCTTTGAAAATTCTACAAAACAAACTTTCCTTATATTTTTTAAATATTTTATTTTCATAGACCAAAATATTAATTGATGGTTAAATTACACATGTTGAGCCAAAATATCTCTCTTTCCAATAAAGATGATGTTTAAAATTAATTCAAAATTATATTAAATGTAAAAGTCTAATTCATGTGAACTCTTTTTTTTTTTCCAAACTCAGCGACTAATTAATTAATGATTCGAATAGTAAACGCTGCAAGAACCAAGTTACAATTAGTCAAAATTTCAACAAAATTAATATTATTTAATGGATTGAGTTTTACAGAGTTAAAGTTTAATCAATAATCAAGTTAAAATTATGAGACCAAAGTGATTAGTTTTTCCTTTAAAAAAAACTACGATTTTGGGAAAATTAGAAGGAAACCCATTTATTTTACCCAAAAAAAAGAAGAAGAAAAACACCAGAGGGTATGTTTAGACATCATGTAAAACTAGGGAAACCACACCTTAATAAGTAACTTGCCTTCAATATATGGTTGGAAGTTGGAACAAGTTTCTTTTTCTTTCGGTTGGTTGCTGTCTATTTTCAGAAACACAAGAATATGCTGCAAAAGTTGGAAAACAAATTGAACTTAGTAAATATGGATCAATTGAACAAATACTAACTTGGGCATGAATCTATATTGTCTAACTTACCGCAGCCGATGTGAAACTTTGCAATTTAAAGGCATATAAACCTCAGATCTCCCAGCAGTAATCAGCTTTCCTCAGTGTTTCAACACAGATCAAACCATGAGAGAGCTCCTTTTTGCGGTGTTTTGAACAACTTTTACAAACAGATGCTTCACAACAATCGAAGATAACTGTAAAATCTGAAAGTTTTTGAAGAAAGCTGATGAACTTGTGAAATCAAAAAGGGAAAAGAACATCGACTAAACTAGCTTTTTTTTTTTGGATATATATGAGCCGTCACAAATTGAAAAGGGCAGGTTTTTTTAAAAAATGATCACAGCGACAGAGAAGTGCCAGCAAAAAAATTCAAAACGAGGAAATTCAGGAATTTTTTAAAGAATTTTTTGAATAAAGAATTTTTTTAAAAGGAAATTAGGGTTTTTTGATCTCTTTTTTTTTTTTTTGCTTTTATTTGGAATTCTAGAACACTTCATCATGTAGGTTGAGTATGGGCACAGGCAAGCTTATTACTGAGAAAAAAAAAGGCATAAATTTACGCTTTCGGACATATTACCCAAGTGTAAAAAGAACATCGCCTTTTATTTTTCCCCATAAATATTCTGAAGGCGGAGAATATTTTGCTGCAATAGAAACTTACGATAACGATGTGAAGCTTCGCAATCTGAGTCCGATCTATCAGCAGCAATCAGTTTTCCTTAGTGATCCAACACAAATCAACATGACCACCTTTTTCCTCTGTCTTTTTATGATATTTTGAGCAGCTTTAAGAAGCTGATCTTCACACCAATCAAAAGTTTTAGCAGAAAGACTGACTTACAAAAACAGACGGGAAATCAACATCAACTAAATAAGGAAAACAAAAAAGAAGATGAACTCAGATAATATAGAGCAGGGGGAGTAACACTTTTTTTACGACACGGGTAGTGATAAATTCAAAGTGCAGTTTTTTTTTTTTTTTGGGATTTTTTCTTAGAAGAAATATCGAAAACCAGCAAAAAGTAAACTTGAAAGTGGTCACAATAAAGGAGAGGTGCCAGCGAAAACTGCAAGAGAAGAAAATTTTAGATTTTTTTTAAAAAACTTTTTGGATACGAAACACAGAAAGGAAAACAGAATCAGAAAATAAAAAGGGAATTACAGAAAAGATGTTTAACAACAAGCTGAGAAATCAAGAAACACAGAGGAAGTAAGAAATGCGGTGAAATTATGAAGGAAGACCACGAGAACAAACAAAAATATAACAAAAACTAAGTGATATGTGCCAATAAAAGGAAGAAGATCGGAATTTCTTCTTCTGCGTTCAAAAAAGACAAAATAAAACGAAAACCAGAAAACTCAAAGAGCACAGGAAATTTGAGAGAAAATGTTAAAGAAGAAGCCGAGAAATCAGGAAAGTAGCGGTGATGTGAAACTATGAAAGACGAAGCAGATCTGAAGCTTTGGGAGGAGGAGATCGTGAGTCTCTCGTGCTTGCATGAAGGAATGAGTGATGTAGTATCAGCATGGCAATGAACAAGCAATGAACCAGATTCAAAAACAACTGAAGTGCGAGACTGGAAGTCACTTTTCGGTCCCCAAAAAAAAAAAAAAACCGTAGGTCACTTTAGAGTGGTATATTTTTTTCCTATTCATTCTCCAATGCGCCGTGTGTACCACGCTTCATACTCATCACAAACATAGTCATGGATTCCTCATCTTAATTTGGATCATTTAAATTAATTTTGGATGGTACATATTTAATTAAAATTTTTTTATACATTTTAAATATTTTTTATTTTAGTATACATCAAATTTAAAATAAAGATAATTCTATAACTATTACTTTTTTAAAAATAAATTTATTATTAAAAAACTGCATATTAAAAGTTTTAAATCTGAATCATCCATATCAAATTTTAAATGGTTTATATTATACCACAGCGTTAAACACACAGCACTCGTCATTGCGATGCGCGCTTCTTTTCTCTTCTTAGAGGCTTCTTTATCACATTTCAAATTTTAAAATTGTCTCTCTCTTCACCTTCTCTCTTCCTGTACTTGTTTTATATTGGCAAACTTAATTTGACAGTGGTTACAATTTCACCTGACTCTGAATCAAATCCCTCTAGCCTTTTTTCTCTTCTATTATATGCAAGCAACATGTATCAGAAAGACTTGCATATCTGATGAAATAAACTAGGAGGATTCAATTTAAAAAAAAAAAAAACTGGAGGGACTTGATTCAAAATCCAATGAAATTGTTATTACTGTCAAATTAATTTTCCCTTTTTATTTAGCCAATGCATGACAGCACTTCATTTGTCTTTTTTCCTTTAGTCTGTATATAAGGTTTTTCAACTTTAATTTTTTTTATTACAGAAATTTTTTTAATTCTTAGTAATAATAATGAATTAACCTTCTTTTACAAAATTCGAACATATAACACTAATTTTTTTACAATTAGTTATTGCAACTTTAATTAGATTATTCTTTTTTTGTGGTCATATTTGTAAGCTTTTTGAAATAAAAAAATTAAATTACTTCATCTTTGGCAAAACTTATTTTTAATATCCTCGCGCAAAGTACTGGAAAAAAAATCTAGCTGAAAAGAAAAAAGTAGTGTTAGAGTAAAAATGTTTTTTAGATTGATTTGGGTGCTCTTCGATCTTAGCGATTGCTTGTGTAATGGAATTCAAAATGGATGATATATATTTAAAATTCAAATAAGAAATCATTTTTTGTTCGTAAAAATCAATCTTTTTAATTTTATAATACTCCCTCCATCTTTTATTATAAGTAACAACTGCCAAAATTATGTGGTTCAAATGTTAATTAAATTTAATTAAAAAAATAAATGTATAAGAGATATACATATTTTTTTAATTATATTTTTATTTATAAAGAGAGTACATAAAAGATAATGAGTAAAAATTTACATAGAGAGATAACAAATAGCATATATTCATAGGTTGAAAATGAAAGAACAAGGTTAAAATTTTAGATGAAGATAATTTATTTCTTATATTTAGGTTGTAAGATTGGTTTTATGAAAAGAGACGGAGGGAA